TGGCAGGTTAAGAAGCCAAGCTAGGAGATGGCTCCTCTCTGGCCCAGCTCCTGGACCTGACCCACTGCACTCTTCATGGCTCAGCATCCATGTGACCCCACCCACTTAGTCTTCCTCCCTGGGCTGCACTGCTAGCCCAGTACACCCATGGGAAACCTCACTCCACCATTCTGTCCTCCTGCCTGTCCCTTTTCTACCTTCATTACCCTTTCTGTGGCCCTGCTAGATTCTTAACTCCATGCTCCATCCTATCCTGTCCATCTCCCTGGCCCCACTTACCTTAGAGGGGTCCTTGACAGGTCCTCCCCAAGGGGCTTTTCCCTCTAGCCCCATACACATCAGCCCAATCCTTGATTACCAGGCCTCTTGGCTCTCTAGCCCCACTTCCTCCTCTCCACCCCCAATCCCTGCTGTTCCCATTGTAGGCCCTTGGGACTGTGTGGATATGCCGTGGCTTTGACCAAGGAGAATGGCATCTCTCTGATGCACAAAAGGAAGATGATGCATGTTACCAGCAGAGCACCCAGGTACAGGGAAAGGGACACGAGCAGCAGCAGGAACAGCTGGATGTTAAGTGCCCCACACAGTTGTTCATGCGCTGACAGTGGTGGTCATACTCCTAGGGGAGATGAGGCAGGTCGCCAGGATCTATCTGGCCTGCCCAACATCACCTCCAAATGCTCAGGGTTCCCCCAACACAGCCCTCTAGGCCATCTGCTCTCAGTCCTACACATGAGCTCCCATATCAGGGAGAAACTGGCATTTCTGCACAGTTAGGAGTCCATGCCTCATCAGGTCACCTATCATGAGTGAGGTGTCACTTGGAGTAGGATATAGAATAACTCTTGGCCTCTGTTTTCTCAGGTACTGGATAAGAATGTAGAGATCTCCCTGGCCCAGCCAGCCTTCTGCATTTGGAAACCTGTGCTGAATGTGCACAGGAGAGAAGGGCAGTCAGAAACCAGGAAACTCTCCAACTTGAACACCCGGTGAAGACAGGCAAAGGTGCCCAGAACAGAGCAGCAGCTGGCCGAAGTGTCTGGGTATCTAGTTCAGCAAGCCAGGGGATGGGAGAGGCACTGCCTTTCCTCAATCTGACTCCACCAGGCTTAGCACATATGTGATGCCCTATTCATGTCAGCACTTGTGCAAACAGGGCCAGGCCCTCATGAGGGGCAGGTGCACAGAGGCAATAACATATGTAAGTGACCAAGAGTGACTGGAGCCACTTTTAGCAGTCTGGGAAGATTGTCCCACTCCTGGCTCACTAAGACTATGAGGTTCCCCATCTTGGCCAGGTGTCCAGTGATGGGTTGGTGAGTAGACAGAGAAGAGGAATACTCACCTCCACAAAGATGTTGCAAAATTCATAGTGGAAGGTCCTGAGTGGGCAGTGGAAGGAGCAATGTGTGCACCAGGGCATTTGAAAAGCCCTTTGATACATTCAGGCCACATATATTGCTTCAGGGTCCTGCTAGAAGGAGCCTGGAATGGAAAGAGGTTTGGACATTGACAGGAGGCCCTTCCATCATGAGGTTGCTCAGGGCAACCCCACATCATCACTGGACAACAAGAAAGGTGGGGAAGAGGTGGGCAGGGGAATCCTGGTCCCTATTAAGCAAGCTGACCAATCCGATGGGCTGGTAGAAGGGAGTTTCCAGCCATAAGAGCTCCCTATAGAGAGCTCCCCACATTTGAATAGTGATCAGTGCTTAAGTCATATGTGAAATGGGAAGGAGGAAGAGAAAATTGTGTGGTTTAGAAGAGCCTGCTGGCCTCTCTTGCCAGCCTGCCCACTCTTCCTTCCTAAAGCAACTAGAAAAAGTCCAGGATTCTGTTTTTTCACACCTCAGTGGCTTGGGAAATAAAGTGCCAGGCCTCAGTACTTGGGGTGCCAGCTCCTTCTTCCAGGGGTCTAAGGCCTTACCTTAGTGTAAGTTGCCAGGGTCAGACAAGTTCAGAGAGATCAGGCTGCTGAAGGTGACCAGAAACTTTCGGCCAGTAACCAGGTTAAAGCCCCAATCCCCATTCAGGAAAAGCCACTGCCTCTGAAACCAGAGCCAGACTCAGTTCTTGTCTGGGGCAACTCAAAGTTCCCCACGAGGCCTGGCTCATCTGAGGTCGGACTCACAGACTTTAAGGACAGATCTAAATATCCAGGCTGGAGACAAACCACAGAAACTCCACCAAATGTCACCAGCATTACCAACCTCCCACAGTTCCCTAAATGCAGCAGGCACTTTAGACCTCTGTGCTTCTAAAGATATATCTTTCTTCTCCATCCTGACCCTTTTTCTCCACCTCCCTGCTTCTGAAATCTCATTTTCTATTTTCACTTTTGTCTCTTTGTAAATAACTTGTCAGCTTGGATGAGAGACTCACGGAAAAGCAAAGAACATGCCACTGGCATTCAGCAGGAACACTACATTCAATGTGGCAAAGAGACTTGGGATAAATCAAATATATCCAATTGGACGTTGGGTAGGGGACTTCAAGTCATTGGAGAACAGCATATTTAGGTCCCCAGTCCTCAGCAAAATGAAGCCACCAGTGAACTCTTCTGAGTTGACACCCAGAGTGCCATGACAACAGCAGGGAAGGAAAGAAGTATCAAGTGTGACATCACAGAGGTTCCGAAATGGGGGCTCTGGCTGCTTCCAGTGACTTCTGAGAGCAACCATCCCCTGCCCCCACATACACACATGTTGTAGACTGGGACATCCTGCTCTTATGATGTTGCTTTTGTTGGAGCTTGTGATGGTGTGATGTGGTTTGTCACCCAAAGGTTCATAGGCTGGAGGCGTGGTCCTCACTGTGACAGTGTTGAGGTGGCAGAACCTGCAAGAATGACGGTCAATGGGGATGATGCCCTCAGGAGAGAGTAATGTGCTTCTCAAGAGCCCCCCAGTCTTCCTGAAAGACCTTTAGTCAAGTGATTGTCATACTAAAGAATCCCATGGCAAAGACGCCCACTCTTTTTTTGTTCCTATTCTATATTGAAAAGAAAAATAAATAAAGACACACAAATTGAAAAGAAAGTCATGATACTCTTCTTCACAGATGTCTTGATTTTCCATGGACAATGAACACAAGAAAAAATGCTAGGGGAGAAAGTCAGCAGTAGGCCATCCCTGATTCAACCCCCAGTACCAGGTAATACAACATTACCAAGAACTCCTGCTTTTTGGAATACAGGACATGACAAGCCACATAGGTTAGAATCCAGTATAGAGAACTCATAAAACTCAAAAAAAAAAAAAAAAAAGCTTTTTTTGTAATGGGCAAAAGATTGGAGCAAACACTTTACTAAAGAGATACTAATGGATAATGAGACATAAAAATATACTCAAAATCATTACTAATTACAACAATACAAACAGGAGCCTTAAAGGAATACCACTACTAATTTGTTAGGCTAAAATTGAAAAAACAAAATCACAATAAATAACAATGTCACATTTTTGTGAAGATGTGAAGCAACTGAAATTCTCATACATTGCTGGTAGAAATTGAAAATGGTACAGTAGTTTTGGAAGACAAATTTTGGCAATTTCTAACAAAAGTTCTACACATAGTTACCTTATGACTCATCAATGTCATCCCTAAAAATTTTCCCAACAAAAATGAAAACTAATGTTCATGTTCATATCAGCTTTATTTATAACTGCCAGAAACTCGCTGATCAGAGTAGCTCACGCCTGAATCCCAGTGGCTTGGGATGCTGAGGCTGTAGGATAGCAAGTTCAAAGCCAGCCTCAGAAACTTAAGTGAGGCCCTACCTCACTTAGTGAGACCTTATCTGAAAATTAAAAAAGAAAGAAAGAAAGAAAGAAAGAAAGAAAGAAAGAAAGAAAGAAAGAAAGAAAGAAAGAAAGAAAGAAAGAGTGGCGGAGGGGAGCTGGGGATGTAGCTCCGTGGTTAAGCACTCCTGGGTTCAATCCCTTGTTAAAAAAAAAAAAAAGACAAAACAAACAAAAAACCAAAACATATGCCCCCAAATAGAATGTAAAAATACTTCAATTTTTGAAGTATAAATAATCTGTAGGGCATCCATACATTATTAGCAATAGATGGAAATAAACTACTGTTATGAGCAACCTTGATGAATCTCAAATGCATTGTCCTAAATGAATGAAGCCAGACTAAAAAGGTCAAAGACCCATTTTATACATGATTATGGACAGAGAAAAGCCATAAAGACATAGGGAGACAAATTGATAGCAAAGATGATGAAAAGATTTTTTGAGGTAATGAAACTGTTCTAATTTTGATCATGGTGGAGAGTGCAAGAGAGTAACCATTTGTCAAAAATCCATAATTGTGGACAAAGAAGGGAGAATTTTACTATATGTAAGTTATTCCTTAATCAATCAATGACTTAAAAAAAAAAACCTGCTCCTAGGTTTCTACTTCAATCAAACTAAATTCCATACTTGACTTTCTGGGCCTTATTAATCTTGACACTCACAGGGTTAACTTGTGCTTGAATTACAGCTTACCCTCATCAGTCCTTTAACATCCTACTTTTGGGTTTCTTTGCCTTTTTGCACAGGTGTGTCTCTCACATGTAATATGCTCCTGTCCTCTGCCTCTCTACAATCATTCCTTGGACCAGCACCAAACTCTCAGTTTCTTCCAGCCTGCTACATCATTCAGGACCAACCCTCTCTCAGATTGCTCCTGTGTATCTGCTAGTGTTACTCTGATCTCAGGTTGCTTATCAACACAAGTGCAGGATGTAATTACACACCCCTATAACCATGCCTCAAATAACATACAGCCTAGCACACAGTAGGCTCTGGAAGCAATGCACTCAGGAGGGCACATGACCACCAAGTTGCAGGAGGAGGAGAGATTTGAACTGCATCTTAAGAGGTGGGTCTGGAAGGGCTAATGAGGCATAAGAGGGGCAAGGGCAGTGGAAAAAACATAGAAAGTGACAGGGGTGCAAGTTGCCTCTGCACAACTGGGTATCCCTGCACAGACATTAGGCCCCACTTACCTGGCCCTTGTAGGGGTGTCTGGTGGAGCTCACTGCCACAGCCTGGATCAGCATCTCTAGGATGAGATGCTCCAGCAAGTCTCTGGTGGAAGGTACAGCCACGATGAAGCTGTGTTCAGGGTAAGAAGCCAAGCCAAGGGACAGTTTCTCACTGGCCCTGACCATAGACTAGACTCCACCCTACCTGACTCCCCCAGTTAGCCCACCCACCTACTCTTTCTACCTAATCCAGTACACCAACATGACACCTCACTCCACCACCTGTTGTTCTGCCTATCCTTTTTCAGTCTTTATTACCCGATCTGTGACTCTGCTACATTCTCACCTATACATTTCAAAATGCATCCTACGCTGCATATGTCCTGACCCCATTTGCTTTGTCCTTCATGGGTCCTCCCAAGCGGCTTCTCCCTCCCTTACCTCCTACATAGCCCCAGCTCCTTGGCTATCCCTGCCTCCCTCCCCAAATCTGTTATGTTCTTAGTGTGGGCCCTGGGGATTCTATAAATATACCATGGCTTTGTTCTCAGAGAATGACATATCTCTTGTACACACAAGGTATATCCTGCAGGTCTCCAGCAAGGGACCCATGTAAAGGCCAAGGGACAGGAGTAGCAGCAAGAAGGTGAGAAAGTTTGATGGCCAATGCAGTTTTCACCCACCTGCAGTGGTGGCCAAACTTCTAGGGGAGAGTAGACAGGCCTCAAGAGTCTATCTGTCCTGGCCTCCATCACGCCCAGGTGCTCAAGCCTACTCCATCCCAGCACTTTAGGCTGCTTATGCTTGGCCCTACTCACAGGGTCTTGTCTCCAGGGAGAAACTGGCATTTCCATTGTTAGAGCACAGTTAGGAGTCCATTGCTTATCGGGCCACCTGTCGTGAGTGAGGTATAGAATAAAATAACTCCATGTATCTATTTTCTCAGATACTGGATAAGGATGAAAAGAACACCCTTGCACAGACAGCCATGTGCACTTGGAAATCCATGCACACTGTGCACATGATAGAAGATCACTCAGAACCCAAGAAACCCTACAACTTGGACACTCAGAGGTAGAGGGGCAAAGGTCCCCAGAACAGGGCAGCAGCCGGTCTAAGCATCAGGGTATCTAATATCAGCAAGCCAGCACTGCTTTTCCTCCCCTGACTCTACCAGGCTTAGCACAGACAGCATGCCATTTTTTATGCTAGCCCCTATGCAAACAAGGCCAGCATATCACAACAGGTGCAGACACAGAGGCTATGACATGTGTTAGTGATCAAGAGTGGCTGAGACCCACTTTTAGCACTCTGGGAAGGTGTCTTCTACCTACCCCTGGCCTACTTGTGCTGTGAGGTTCTTGGTCGTGGCCAGGTGCCTGGTGATAGATTGGTGTGTAGATACTCACCTCTACCCAGATGTTGCAAAAGGAATAGTGGAAGGTTCAAAGCAGCAGTGGAAGCAGCACTCTGGGCACCACATCTTTTGGAAGGCCCTGTGGTACACCCATGCCACATATGGAATGCTGGGATCCTTTTGCAGGAATCTGTCATGGGAAGATGTTTGGCAAGTGGTAGGAGGCCCCTCCATCATTCTGCCGCTTGGTACAGCCCCATAGCATCACTGGGCAATAAGAGGTGTGGGGAGGAGTTGGGCAGGAGAATCCTAGTCCTTGTAGAGCAAGTTCTCAGATAAGGTGGCAGTTTATTGCAAGAAGAACTCTATATAGAGCTCCACCCTTTGGAATAGTGAACAGTGCTTGAGGTCATGTGTGAAATGGGAAGGTGGAAGAGGGGACTGTGTGGATTGGAAGAACTTGCTGGCCTCTATTTTCACACCTCAGTGGCTCAAGTAATGAAGTGCTAGGACAAAGTAAAGATGGCATTGAGAGAAGGAATCCAGAGGCCAGAGGTTGGGATAGTCCATGGCATGCCACCTCCTTCTCCCAGGGTCTTACCTCGACACTCTCTTCAGAGGCCTTACCTCGATGCAAGATTCCAGGGTCAGAAGTTTGAGAGAAATCAGGCTGCAGAACGTGATGACAAAAAGAAGACCTGTAACCTCTGGAAAGGCCCACTCCCTGTTCTCAGCCAGACACTGGCACCTGAAACCAGAGGCAGACTGAGTTCTAGTCAGGGGTAACACAAGGTCTGGCTCATCTAAGGTACGACTCACAGAACTAAATACCCAAGCTAGAGACAGACCAGAGAGACTCCACCAAATGTCACCAGCATTACCAGCCTCCCACAGTTCCCTAAATGTAACAGGCACTCTAGAATTCTGAGTTCCTAACTATATACCATTCTTTCCACTCCTTACCCTCTTTCTCCACTTCTCTGCCTCTTCACTATCGTTGTCTATTTTTTCTTTCTACCTCTTTGTTAAGAAACCTGATAACTTGTATGGGAGACTCACAGGAATGTCAAGAAGAGGACACTGAAGTTGACCAGCAGCACTACATCAAAAGCAGCAAACAGGCTTGGGAGATACCAGGAATATCCGACTGGAGGTTGGGTTGGGGGCATGACATCCTTTGAGAATGGCATGTCTAGGCCTCCTGTTCCCAGAGAAATAAAAGCCACCAGTTACCTCTTCTGGGTTGCCACCCAGAATTCTGACCATATCAGGGAAGGAAAGAAAGTACCAAGTATGTCTACGTCCACTGACTGCTGAGAGCAACCTTACCCCATGACCACATACACACATGTTATATACTGGGACATCCCGATCTTATAATTTGGGCTTTGTTGGAGCTTGTGAGTATGTGTATGTGTTTTTTACCTTCAAAAGTTCAAAAGCTGGAGGCTTGTTCTTCAGTGTGCAGTGTTGAGGTGGTAGAATGCGTAAGAATTGGGGCCAAGTGTGAGGTAATTCTGTCAATGGGGATGATGCCCTTGGAAGGGAGTTATGTAATTTTACTGGGCCCCCATTACTTCCTATGAGAGTGGGGTGCTATTTAAAAAAAAGCAATTCTACTCCCTCCTCAGGTTTCTGGGCCTGCAATCGCCTCCCCTTTCATGCCTTTACCATGATACTATTCACCAGGTTGTGATGATACTCACCAAAGTGAGTGTGATTTGGCAGTCACAGGGGCAGCCAAATCTTGGACTCTGAGCTAAATAAACCTTATCTCTTTATAAAGTACCCATTCTCAGGTATTTTATTAGAGCAACAGAAAGCAGGCTGATGCAGAGGATCATATATCATGGTTTCTGGGGAAACAGCACGAAGAGAAGCCTGCTGATTCTCATCACCCTTTCAGGCCCAGTGCTAATTAAAGCAGACAGTGCTCATTGCTTGTCTTATCTCCACTTCTTCATTTTTATTGCATCAGAGCTCCAATTTGGAGCTCTGATACAACAAATACCTACATAGCAATCTACCCAGCTAAATAACTTCCTAGTTTCACTCATATCAAGGGTGACATGACACTTTTCTGGTTAAAGAGACATGTGAAAATATCTATTGAGGATTTCTGGAAAAGCAGTTGCCTTTTCAATAAAAGGGAAAATGATGCAGTTGGCAGAGCTCTGTCCCAATTTTTTTTTTTCTGTTTCAAAGCTAGGAATATTGGCTGGGTGACACCTGGGACCCTTCAGGCAACAAGTCATGCTACCTAGATATGACCTGTGACATTCTTAAGTCCCTGTTGTATTCATCAACTGCCTCCCCCTGAGCTACATATTATGAGAAAATAAATGGGTTACTTTTACATTGGCATGAGTCTATAGGCTACTGAGCACCTGAAACTCTCTGTGTTTGGCAGATTTTTTCCCACTATAAATGTTGCTGAAGGGCAAAAACTATTTCCTTATCCCAGTTGGAGCTGAAAATGGCCAAATATTTGTGGCTTTTCTCACAGTAATTATAGAGGCCTCTGATCCAGGTGACATTAATTTTACTCTACAACTGCTATGACTGACTGACTCAGAAGTCTCTGCTGAGATGCATCAACTTCACAGATGTCCAAAGCTCATAAGTACTGCCCCCTTTTTTGGACAGGGGTTTGAACCCAGGGACAATAAGCTACATCCTTTTTATTTTGAGACAGAATCTGAGGCTGGCTTTAAACTTATGATCCTCCTGCCTCAGTCTCCCAAGCCACTGAGATTATAAGCATGTGCCACCATGCTTGGCCAAAGAAATTAAATTGATTATAAATAGATCAAAATTGCTGTCATTGAGGTCAGGGTAAATGGACAGATAATGAATGCTTGGGTCAGAAAGATGCAGACTGATTCAAAACTAAATAAAGTGTAATATCCCTCCTCCAACTTGTTGCCAAGGTTACTTGCCTCCAGGGAATTGTTCCTCCTGGCCAAGTGTTGTTAATGAGTACCCCCTGGATGGCTCCATTCCTGCATTTCTGGGCAGATATGGAAAATAGGGAGATGTACTAGGAAGAATCCTGAAATATATCAAAGGGGCAGGACATCCCTATTCTCTCAGGCACCAGCTCTGGACCCCATCATCTCTGGAGGACTCTCTCTCTCTTCTAGCCTTTAAATAAAACATTTTGTTCTTGCCGCTGAGTTTCTTTGGTGTTTGATCTTCAACATTGGGGGAATTCTGATTTTCAAGACCAGTTTCAGATGGGGGCTCTGCAGTTATTTATCACCAGGGAAAGTTCTTCTGCACCCCATATCTTTCTGAGGTGAACCTTCTGCTTTTCTTTCTGGAGGAAAACAATGGGCACCTAGTGGCTAATTAAATGCAGTTATTGCAAGCTGCCTGCTACAGGCTTGGGTGCCAGGATTCACTGCCTAGGTAGCTTGTAATCACCTGTCCTGTATTTTAGGCATGTTGTGTTCTGCCAAATCTGTCTCTCACTTTACTATCTATCTTGGAGCATGTCTGGCATGAGTACACACTATATATCTAATCCTGGTCTGCCTTGGATGCGTGGAGATATGGACGAAGGGTTGGAACAACTGTGAGAGATTTTGGTGGTGCCAGTTTGTGATGAACCACAATGGTTTCTCCCCAGACTCCTCTCCTGACTGCCCTTAAGGCATTTCCTGGGATAACTGGTTGATTAAAAGGTGCTCTGCAAAAGCCCCAGGGACATGCACCACTGGATAAGCTGAACTACATTTACTGGCACACATTACTCTTGAGCATTCCATTCCTCTACTGATCAGACTCTAGTTATTGAGGGAGGGACATTTTACATGGAGTGGTTCATAAGAAATGCCTGGGTTCCCTTTGTTCACATATGAAGCCTTTACAAGCCTGTAGGGCTTCTCCCCCTTGTTGTTTCTGTGCTCCATGAGTTTCTTTAGCTGCAAAAGGGAGGCATTTTCAAATTACTCCTTCTGTAAACTCCTCCAGGAAAAGGGAAGCAAGAATCTAAGGACCATTAGATGTCCTCCTTTGGCTCAGAGAGTAGAGAAATACACTCCATGTAGATCAATTTTTTACCATGGGCTATCACATTTGGAAGTTTAACTGGGAAAGCAGAGGTCAGTCATGCTTCTAAGTCTGAACTCTTGAGGGTGATGATAGAAGTGTTTCCTGGCCATCAGAAGGTCTATAGGGTGGCATCCCTAATGAAAAAAAAAAAAATGGAGTTTCCTCTGACACAGGCACCCGAATTCTGTTTGCTTGTACTTAGATGGGAGCTTCGTAGTCAACAGCTATGTCAGGTTTACCACTAGCCTGCATACTGTGAAAATAGGGATTTTCATTTTGTTCAGAGGGTAGCCTCATCCTCAAAAAGGAGGGGTGGTAAAGCTGGTGGCTAGAGTGTCTGGAAGCTAGATGCTCAAAAAGTGCCTCATTTCTTTTGCTGCTAGGCTTCATTAGTAAATGACCTAGTCACAGTTGGACAAAAGAGATGTCTCATAGTTTCCTGCTTACTATCACTGAGGTGAATGGAAACTCGATTCTTGAGGAAACCAACTATACAATCACATTGTAAGATACTGTGTTTTTAAAAAAAGCTAAAATGCTCTATTTATGATGTTTTGTCTCTCAAGTTCAGAACAGTAGCTTCTCCTCTTAGCTTCTGCCACATATCTCTCTCTCCAAGGATTACAGAGAATGCAGATTTGCAAGACTTTCAAGGCTTACAGGGGACCAGTTTGAGACCAAAGGTGTCACTTTTAAATTCAAGCCACTGTAGGACCTCAATGTTTAGCTGTTATCTGCTCTTATACTGTACCTCTGTGCTTTCTTAAGAATTTCCTCCCTAAAAATATAAAACAAGAAGAAAAATGAAATGCTGTCATATTACAAACCTCCTTTTAGGTATAGAGACTGACTCTATTCTGAGCCAAAAGTGCACTTTGATCTGATGAAGGTGATCTCCATGATTTTTTTCTAGTATAATTATGGCCATATCATTATTTTGGTTCCTTTTTTTTCTATATTTTTGAGGTCATGGTTTTATGTCAAATTCACATGTGGTCCTGTGCCTTAAATTAATAACATTTTGTGATCATTCTTGTTTTATCTATCTATAGAGGTTTTTCCACTCTTTTTTCAAATCTATTTTTCAAGGGTTGGCTTTCAAATATATTGAAAAATTTCCTTTACCAAATCCTAAGAACAACACAGACATGGTGATGTTCGGCATAAATCTGATAGCCACCAAGGACAAGTGGCCAGCTGAAAAATCAATTTCAGTGTTCACCATGGCTGTCAGACTTCACTCTGGTATTTGTAACTATACAGGCCTGCACTAAATTAAAATCATAATATAAAAGTCTGATAAGCTCTATTTTAATTTCCAATAGATTAAATCTAGTGGATGCTTTAATAAACATCTGTATTCATTGCCTCCCACCTTTGGGGATCTACCTAAAAAAAGCTACAAGACCTCTGTTTCCTGTCTATTTTATATATGTGTACACAACTTTATGTTGTATTATACTGTCTACGTGTGTGTGTCCATATGGCATGTATGTACATGGTATCAAAATTGGCATATACACTTGCATACAGATTTGCTCATGAGGCAAAATTTTAAAAAATGGATCTAAATACCTTTTAATCCACATGACTTTTAAAAAGTCCATTTTAAATTATATAAACAGGTAAGAGTAGGCTGTCTTTAAAATTACTAACTCACATGATTTTCTAGGAGGTCAGACAATTGACAGAGAGGAGGTTTCAATAAAATATCTAGAATAAAATATCCATTGCTTCTAGGATTTTTTTCAACAGGGAAGTTAACACTAATTATTACTTTTCTCTAAAATACATATTTTTAGAGTTAAAATGAGTAAATTAGATTTAACATTAATGTGTTTGTTAGTGGAGACATCTGACCAATTTACAAAGTGCTAAAGTATCAACTGCTAAATATAAAATCAAGTATTCTTGACATCTTAAATTCAATAAGGTAATATATTTAAACATTATATGTGTTTTCATAAATAGGGAAATTTAAAAATATCTTAATTAAATTTTAAAAAGTTTGCTTTGTTTCTGTGTCCCCACTAAAAACAAGGTTAAAAAGATTTAATATTTTATAAGTTGTAATTTTAAATACAAAGAGTACAAAACATTTCAATTAAAGTACTATAAAACAAAGTATTTCATCATATTAACTTG